CCCCGCCCAGCCCCGCCCCCGGCCCCGCGCCCAGGGCCACCCCAGGCTCACCAGGGGTGGGTGTAGCCCCGGGGCGGCCCCGAGGTGGGGCCAAAACTGCATTTTGCAGTTCTGCCCAGGGGGTGCAGGATGCCGCTGCGCACCCCCCTGTATTTTTTTGATTTTTTTTTGTTTTGTTGGGGGGGGGTCCGGAGCCAGGGTCAGGGGTGCCCACCCCCGGAACCCCGCACCCCCGCCGGGGCCCCAGGGCCGGGGCTCGACAACCATGATCATCATCCACTCGCATGCCTCCCCTTCTTCATCGACCTCATCATCAGCACATTCATGGTCAGATCAGCCGTCACAAAGGCCCTGTCGACAGAGACATCCAGTGTCGGATCGATCGTTACAGATGCCTGTTCGCCGGAGACATTCCCCGTCTCCGCCGCCGCCTCAAAGACAGTGGCCTCGTCTGTCCTGGAACAGCATGCATAACACACCCCCTGCAGGGGTTAGAGATCTGCTCCGACGACATGCTCGCAACCATACAGAACGGCATCGTCGCTCTTGATATACACTAGCCAGGTGTAGTACATATCAATTCTGATGCCTGCAATGTGGGGATGATTTCTTCAGTGCTGCAGGCCTGCGTGTGCACCAGACACGAGGTGCAGCTACCTGTGCAGCATTTGCACAACTAGCAGCCACTTTGAGCACAAGTGCAACTGATCAACCTCTGCTTCCCGCATCTGACCCATCTATTCCTCATTCACCTGACCCTGCAGCCTCAAATGATAATGAGCCACCTTCGGATCACTTGATGGAGCCCCCGATTCCAGAAGATCTCTCTGCGGAGCGCATAATACAGCCGGAGGAATGTGACAGAAACGGTCACGACTCCAATGAATCTCCGCCTGCCATGCAATCTGGAGAAATGGATGAACCTCCCCCTGCTGCACAACCTGCAGAATCGGATGATGTCATAGTGCTGCAGCGAGGGCGCTGTGCGTACTATGCCATTAATGTGCGTCTCCTTGCCTACAATTGCAACCCTTATACTGTTTCTGACTTTGAAGACGCTGTCCGCTGGATAGAAGAAGAGCACGGTGCCGTCTGCCCGGAGGACGACAGTACTGCACCTGGCGTGAACATAGAAGTCCTGTCTATGGCATTTATGGGTAGGCTACTACAACCAGCCTACTCCGCAAAACAGCGGCTTCCTGGAAGTGGGGATTCTTTGTCAAATTAAATAAAGTGAAGCTTATGGAAACCAAATATTTCTGTTTTTTAGAAATCGTAGGTGTTGGATATAAAGCTAGTACTAATCCACAGAGCTCCATACTTATCTTGAAAYTAGGATTTAGTCATGATATGAAACTTCAAGCTCCGCCCTCGGTTCGTGTGTTTTGCTTATCACGTGCCAGGCATGGATCCGAATATTCGGGCATACATCTTACATCGTCCAGGTCATTTCAGCGCTCTTACCTTTGCCGATAACTCATGGACCCTATGGGACAATGGCGGTAGGGTGCACGCAGCGGGAAATATCAACTCTTTCTATCACCAAGCGGTAGAACATCACTCGGTCTGGCTCGTCCATCAGGAACTATACGATGATGAGCACTCACAAGCACGACTGCCTCCGGAGAGCATTCGGCTGAACCTCCTTCCCCTGTGCATGGTCGGGCAGCATCCCCTCACTGTGTGGATTGGACAGATTCTACCACGAACAGTGAAGGGACCTTTCCAGGGGATGGAGATTGTGCCCTCCTCCCATTGTGTCGTCGCACAGGTATAGTCCGGTCAGCATGTGCACGGCATGGCCTCTGCTCCGAACACTACAAACTTACAAAGGGATGGTCGCTGCCAGCCTCTGCCAAGAAAACTGTAGTCCTTTGTCTTGTACTCACCCCCCCCACCTCTTGATTACTTGCCCAGCATGCCGTTGTGGCCTTGATCTGCCATGCTTGAATAATTGCGCACGTCAGCCTTCTTTGCTGATGACATGTCAGCAACATGGCATGTGTCATCAATGTTTCCGGGAAGCTGTCATAGAAAGTATGTGTCTCTACTGCGTGGACCATCCTTGGTGCCATCATCCGCCACATCATCTCCTAGCATGTCCCATATGCGGCGTTGGTCATACACCTACTGCAACCGCAGTCGGAATTCCTTCTTCTTTGCCTGACAAACGACGGTCACAGCAGCCTGAGGAGGAAAATAGATTACCATATGAACCACCTACAGAGCGCTGTACTGATAGGTTGTCTCCACCAGGACGATATGTTGCAGACCAAATCCTGCAGCAGCTGAACGCCCTTGCTTTGGATCAATCTCCACCGTCGTCATCTACCCATAGATAAGGAATAAATACTGAGGAAACCCAAGAAACTTGCTCCATGCCGCTTTGTGATGACCCACCGGAGATTTAGCTAGCATGAGGTTCGCATGCCTTATGCCATGAGGATTATGAAGGGATAGCCTGGGCGAGCTTTTGTCTTCATATGTACGATGACAGTCTATACTGCACTCATGTACCTCACCCTGACATGTCATGTCCAATTTGTAGACAGAGGCTGGAACAGCAATGCCTCTAGAATTGCGGTCAACGTGCCTCTGTGCTCCTAACATGTAGGGGCCATATAGCCTGTGACATCTGTCTACGCCGTGCCATTCGATGCAGTAACTGTGACTGTGAGAATCGGATGCGGTGCTTCCACAGGCCACACCCAAACCGGCCCTGCCCAGTCTGTAGAGGTGGCCACTTACCATAGGCAACAACTGCTCCTTAAATCTTATGCAACCCACACACTGACTGGCCTCATGTGCCATTCAGAGTGGTCTTCCCCACGGCAGCCCCAGCGGTCACTATTTAGAACCCTGTCAGAACTCCACCTCCCATTTCATTCCTCCCTCCTCTTGTGTATTACTAGTAATACATACGAATGAGCATCATTACGAGAACAGACAAAATATAAGTTGAAGATTTGAGATGAAATGAGCCAAGTACTCGTCAAGTTAAGCCCCGCATACATCAATGAACATTCACATGAGAGTTCACACGTGAGAAGCCAAATCGACATACAATCAACACTTCAAGATGTTGTCTCCAATATTATTATCAATATACAAGAATGTTTGTCTCCAGCGGCTCTGACACACACACACACAACGGATCTCAACCATATAGCGGCTATGGCTTCTCCCCTCTTCTCTCTCTCTCTCTGACTTGACTCGCTCTGCCTCACTCTCTCTCTCTCTCTCTCTCTCTCTCTCTCTCTCTCTCTCTCTCTCTCTCTCTCTCTCTCTCTCTCTCTCTCTCTCTCTCT